TTATATTTATCATTCTTAATATAGACTTATATATGGAGAACTTGTTTAGTTTTATGATTTATTGTGATTATTTCTTAATGTAACTTGTTTATCATTTCTTTTATTTCTAAAATATTATTTGTTAGTATAATTGGTTTATTATTTCATATATTTTTTAAAAGTATTCAAAAGGGGAAATTGTAATTAATTACTTATATTTTTTTTCAAAATAAATATGGATTTAATCATTTAGTATGACAACTTTGATAATAATATTTTAATAGATATAAATGAAATTTTAGTAATAAATGATCATTGAAATAAGAAAGTTGTAATTATATAATTTGATTACTTTTCAAAATAATGAAGATTATTTAGAATCAAAACTGCTAAAATATTTTAAAGATAGTAATGGAAATGTATGAACAATATTAATAAATGGAAATGAGAACATTATATTTAATTTTTAGTTTTTTTGAAAATAAAGCACACATTCTAATTTGCATGTAGTGATTACTATACATTATTTTTCAACATGAATGACATCACCGATCTCACCAATAAACATCACATTAAATGACAATATGTGTTTTTATTCACTTATATTCATCAGTTTTATTTCTTTCTTAATGGTTGACGATATTTATTCAAAGTAATTATTAATTATTAGTTTGCAACTGATCGACGATATTTATTCAACGCTATCGATATTTATTCACTTATTCAATTACAAATTACAATAGTATAGCAAAATTTATTGTCATTATTCACATATGCAGATTCTATTCCCTTATGAATTTCCTTTATTGTTATTCTACTATGCTTTATCTTTCATTATTCACATTAATTACTCTTAAATCTCGAGAGTAATTCTCTCCAACTGTTATTATTCCATAATTCATATAAATGATTATTTTAGTACTTGAAAAGTTTGTGTAGATATAAAAATAAAATAAAACAATATGTTAGAATTTATGACATTTATTATCTTTAATTAACAATTAATAAAATTCACCTAGTGACATGGGAAATGGTCCATTGAAAATTCAAACATTAGTGTTTTTGTGGTATAAAAAATTATGGTGTCATTTTTAATAAATATATAACATATGTAATAGTTAATAAATTCAATGAAAGTATAAAATGAAGAAAAAATGTTATCATAGTATATTTTAATTAAATTACAACAAATTTTTGTTTTTACCATAATATAGACTCAAAGATAAAAGAATGTAATTATGTTAACTTTCATGAAAGCACATTTCCTTTTTATAACAATGAAAAACTTTATATTATTGACATTTGAGTTATTGAATGACACATAATCAAATATCACATATGATGATGAAACTTAAATCAAAAGAAATTTAAGAGGAGGATACATTCTAGGTGTTTATAACAACATGCAAAACAAAAAATGAAAATCTAATTATTGGAATAAAAAAGTGTATAAAAATAAAATAAGAGATGAAGATAGAGAAAACTAATATGTGAAGATGTTCTGAATAGAGAACCAAAATTCAAATGAAAAGAGAAAATGATTATAGTAAAATATGATGAAGAGATAAATATGTGTTAGAAAAGTAGTGAATCTTTGAATAAAAGATTTATAAATAAAATTAGAGTTTAAGAGAAGAAAAAAAACTTAAAGAATAACCAAACTGCAAATAATAAGAGAAAATGATAAAAACGAGATATGATGAAGAGATAAATAAGTTAATAACAAAAGCAAACAAACAACCAACAACCATACCTTTTGAAGGTTTGATTGTACTCATGGACGATACTCTTGCTTATAAGAAGCTAACAAAGATAATGATTCGAAGAACAGATCTACAAAATAATGAAATCAATTAGAACACATGTACAAAATAAGGATATCAATGAAAAATAAACAAAAATCAATGATAAAATAAGAACAAAATTACAAAATAAGAACATATATACAAAATGAACAAAAAATAAATAAAATATGCACTTTAAATATGAGATATACAAAATAAGAATAGATCTACAAAATAATAGGATTACTTTCACAATATTATAAGGAATGTGCATAATAGGATAATAGGATTACTAATACGAATATGAGTTTATGAAAAATGAAGAAATATAAGAATTGATTTAGGAAAAATGAAGAAAGATTTTTGGATGGAAAAATAATATGAGAATATGTAAATGATTGAGTATTTGATAGAAAAAATGAAGGACTAATAGAGTGTGTGTGGGAACATGATAATGTATGGACATGTTTAGGAGGGAAAAAAGTGAAGGAGAGTATGACATGTGTCTAGTGATGATGTGATAGAACCTTTTTTCTTATAGATATATAGATGTATGTAGAGTAATCTATTATTTGGTTGCATCGAAAAGAAGGGGAAAGAAAAAGTGGTACCCATTTCATTATGTTTTCTCTCCAATATTAGGTGAAAAAACAAGTAGGGAAAATTGGACGAAGATTGATTGTCCAAAACCATATCCCAAATCAATGATGGATTGACATGATATATTTTCATTAGTTTAGGATATGATTTAGAACATACTTTGATATATCAGATCCTTTGTCCAAGAAAATGAGTAACAGATTTTCTAATCGCTAACTCCATATACATTTAAAATTTTGTATTCAGTGTTAGTCACACATATAAATGTCGATAATTTCCTAAAATTCAAAAGAAAATAAACTAACACATGCATGTCAATGTCATTGTTAATAAACAACAAGATATTAGTTTAGTGGTGTAAAGTCCATCTAGATTCACATAAAGATCAAAAGACCAAGAGTTCGATTTATGTGGTAACGCTTATTGGGAGAAATAGTCATACACTATGAAAGAGATTACTTATTTACTCATAGAGTAATGAGATACCGTTGGTAGTAAAAAAATATTCTCTTCACTTACTTTCCATTTTGTATCATACCAAACAATTAAAAGATCATCACATTTTCTATCCATTCTCTTCTCAATTTTTCTTTCCTTAGCATTTCTTTTGCAAACAGAGTGTAAAGGAATGTAATTCCCATTATTCAAGGGATGGAACTTAAGGTCACAAGTGAAATGTGCCTAAGAACTTAAAAAAGCCCATTGGACCCACCCTCCACGGTGTCCTAGCACTTCCCCTCAAGTTAAAAATAATCTTATTCTTTGAACTGAACAATGGTATAGATGGTGACTGAAAAACATAGTTGAGTCTTTGAACTGATTCTTAGTTACCCCAAATGGGTCAGCAAGGGCATGAAGTTAGAGGGACCAAAACATGCTTCCTTTTTTTGCTTTGTAGGAATTTTGGTTTGAGAAGGTTTAGTGAGAGGTTCATATTTTTTATTCTCACTTTCACCATCACTTGTACTCATTATAAAAATGATAATGATATATTCTTCTACCAAATCATCTATACATTACAAAACGTGACATGTCACTTATAAACCAATCAATTAATAAAAATGTGGCATGTATTATTCTTATGGTGTATGAGGATTTGTAAAAAGATGTATCATTTTCCTTACAAAAATATTACACCAATTTTTGTGTTTCTTATTTGTAAAATTTTATAAGAGTGAAAATAATGTATAAGGCCATGAAATTCACCCGAGATTTTACATTGAGTAGCATATCAAACTCGATGAGATATTGAGCTTTATGAGGCTCTTTCACCTAATAAACTAATCTTTTAAGTTCGGTTAATCGGTTCTCCTCATGTGCTTTAAATCAGTGTTGTGATAACCGGACCGTACAGTCCCACCAGTTCGATCACTGACCGGACTTAAAACGGCTTCGTTTTGTAGTCTTAACCGAATGAGTAGTTAGACCACTTTGAACCGGAGAAATTCCGGTTCGACCGTGCTAAACCCGGTTAAACCAGAATAACCCGGGAAAAAACCCGGACGGTTTACTTAAAATTTAAAAAAAATGGAACATTACTCTAATGTTTTGTTTTATTTTGGTCCAAAAAAGATAGAAAGATGTTACTTCAGTGTAGTTATATAAAATTATTAATTAAATAAAAAATTTCATTTATATATAATTATATATTTATAGATAAAAATTATTAATTATATTTAAAATCATCCGGTCCGACCGGACAGTTTAACTGTTTAAACTAGTTAAACCTAATACGAAAGCTCTTCCGACTTGACGTCCGGCTCGGGTGTCACAACATTGCTTTAAATCATAACAATTTTTGTGTTACATGACTACAATGCCAATCAACTGAAGATTAAGATGAATTATAAAAATAAAAATCAACAGATGTCAAAATGAACATGGCATTACAAAAAAAAAAAAAAACAAACTAAGTATTAATGTCAAAGTCGTGACACAGTGCATCAGTGTGTTCCACTGATCAGTTTCTAAAATCTAATTTTATGTAACAGCCAAAAAAGCACATAAATAACAGGAAAAAAAAGAGGTCAACTAAGTATAATGGAGCACCATTACACAAAGTATGGTTTATTTATAAAGCTATAAGCACAATGCAGCAGCATTCAAAGTCATTGTTGCATATACATTCCTTACTTCCACTTCTTGAACCCACCACCATGTTTGCCGAACTTTCCGTGCTTGCCAAACTTTCCGTGCTTGCCATGCTTGAACTTTCCATGATTCTTGAATTTCCCATGGGGCATGTGAGCAACATGTCCATAACCGCCGTGAGCTCCATAGGCGCCATGGCCTCCGTGGGAGACTTGGTGGGCACCGTATGCAGCAGCGGCTGCAGCAGCACCCCCAACAAGCATTCCCCCAATACCTCCATGTCCATGGGACCCTGGTGACAAAGGAAGAGAACTTAGCTGCTTCCCAGGATATTGATGCAAATTATAGGTACTAAAATAACTTTCAAATAGACAATTCATAAATGAAACAAGGAAAACAACTTCAAAAACCACACAGATTTCAAGAAGAGTGCAGAACAGGGAAATTAACATTACGTTAAAAAATAATACTTATGTCATAAGTTTTTTCTTTCCCTATTATAAGGCATAATCATGAATGACCAGAATGCTAACAATATTATCAAAATGTCAGGAGACATTCAAAAAGTCTAAAACATCTCAGCTCATGAGTTTTTTTATTGGAGAATGCTAATTGATACGAAGCGCCCATAGGGCTTCCTAGGACACCGAAGGAATCGAAAGGAAAATAGTGCATTCAAGTACATTAAGAATTTAAATGATGCAATTTTCAACTTCATTTTCTATTTTTGATTCCTTAACAAGTGCCCAAGCAACGTTTTTTTTTTATTTAGATAAACGATCAGTTGGTATGCTGAATTTAATCTGCAATATATAGTCATACATGATAGAGTATGTGTTGCTTTTAAAAAGCAATAGTATCTCAGTGAATTATACAAATTTTACAAAAGCACAATGGAATTTCAAAATTCAATGTAATAATTAGCATGATAAAAACGCAATAATGTAAAAAACAATTGAAAGCAAACATACCTGGGGCATGTGGAGCAGATGAACCAGGATAACCAGCAGGTGGGTAACCAGAAGGAGGGTATGCACCAGGAGGGTACCCTTGTTGTGGTGGGTACCCTTGTTGTGGTGGGTACCCTTGTTGTGGTGGGTACCCTTGTGGCGGGTACCCTTGTTGGGGTGGGTACCCTTGTGGAGGATATGCCCCATGTTGTGGAGGGTAAGCCCCAGGTGGGTACCCATGTGAAGCATTAGCTACACCATGAGCAAGGTGTGAGAAAACCCCTTTGTCAGATTCATCATGTTTGTCCTTACCACCTCCCATCTTTCAAAGCCAATAGCTGATAATTCACAATTACGAATTGTTAACAGACTTCAATAAAAAAAAAAAAAAAAAAACAAAAAGTCAAAAACTGAATGAATAATAATAATAGCAAAGAAACAACAAACTGTGGAATCTCCAATCCAAAACACTCAACGCTAAAGTTGCAAACTTTGCTAAAACACTTTTTGTCAATGATCTAACAAATGAAATTACTATCGCCTAAAATGTCACTTTGGTCCCTGAAATTGACATTGTTGATCATTGATCAATTTAGTCCTAAGATTAGAAGAAAATATCAATTTGGTTCTTGCCATTGCACACTATCATCTGGTGAGAATTTTATAATTATTTTTCTATATTTCAAAGACCAAATTGACTGATGATGTGTAACCTAAAGGACAAAATTAATAGATGATGTCATGTCTCGATGCATGCAGCCTTACTCCATAAGTGAAAAAGCTATTTCCAGAATTTAAAATCAAATGGATGTATTGCTTATAGGTAAACAATTCTCTCATTACTCTTTGCAAAGAGATCGCCATAAACAAAATCAGATAAAATTATTAATGTAAAAAGTGAATCACAAAATTAAGGACATATTAACACTAATAACACATGGGTGTGATCAAATTATTCCAAGAATAAGTTTTTTAAACATAGTCCACATCTAACTTATCAATTCTAAGGAAATAAATTCAATGATTTATATCTGCTCACTAATTCAAACCATTAGATTTACTTAAAATTGATGGCTAAGATATGTGAATGGATCATACTCTTAACACATATCATGTAACTATGGTATTCTTGTTGCAAAATTAAGTAAATCACAAAACAAACGAAATTAATACATGAAAAAACTAAAATAAATGTAAATTGCAGAGATCAGATGAAACAGAAAATCACTTATGATCACAGTAGAAACGATCATAACATCAATTTAGGTATCGAGTACGGAACAGAGTTAGAATTGGAAGATCTAAAACATTTGAAAGAAATTATATGGAAAAAAAAGGAGACTCACCGAAATTAATTTGCAGAAGAAGAATAAACTGAGAAATTGGAATTGAAATAGAAGAGAGAAATGAGAGAACAATTATATATAGATTATGACTTTGTACCAAGATTGAGAGAGGAAACGCGTTACGCGCAAATAACGCGTCATCGACGCGTGCATTTTCTATCTCACACGTGGCTGATGCTGCTTCCTTCATTTATTCTCCACTTCGTTACTTTCATCAACAACAAAATATAAACCATTGAATTTTTTAAGATTGGATAACTAAGATGATGAATATGTATTTTGGATCCATCCCCTTCATATTTAGATATAATTGTATTTATGTTTTGTTGGTACTATCATATCACTTATTACTAAATATTAATTATAAATTATTTTTAATGTGTTGTCTGTCAATATATTACATATCCTTATCTCAAAAATTAATAGTAGTATTTCCATTTTACTGTGTGTAAGTAAAAACAATACAATATAAGGTTACCAAAAAGGTGAGGATCAAGATAAATTATTAAAGTATCAAGTTTAAATAATCAGCCACATTATATAGTCAATTATACAATTTATAGAATTACAAACTAAAAAAATCAAAGAATATAAGTCTAACTAAGGTATAAAAGTATTATAAAAAATAGTATGAAGAACATCCTTTTTATTACTTCTTAAAGAGCACATAACACAATTTTAGTCATCTTTTAATTTATGCAAAAATAACTTAAAAATGAGCAAATAACTTATATTTGTTATTTATTGACATGTCTGCACTAAAATTACTTTAAGTATAAAGAGTCTTTTATACATTTGAGTTTTTCCAATACATTGGGTTAGCCAACTATACAATAGATGGAAGTATAAAATATAAGTATCACCAAAAATTTCTTAATGTACTTCAATTAGCATTTTCGCAAGAATTTCAAGCATCAAGTTGTCGATAGTGATAACAACACAATATAGAAATCAATTTTAACAAATCAATGTTTACACGTAATAAGTAGAAAATTCATAATATTATTTTATGTTATGTTTGATATTGTTACTATTATGAATTATTTTTATATTATTATTATTATTGTTGTTATTGAAGTTAATCCTATGGGGTAGTGGTGAAATATCACTGATGTTTGTGTTTAATGATGAATGCTTCGTTTTTTTTTATCTGAATGTGTTACAATTGTAATTTTTTTAATCAAGTCAAATTAATAAGTTCTATTTTTAGCATATATCTAGAATGATTATGTTTTATTTTATATTGATATTGATATTGATGACATTGTGTTTAAATATTTGAATATTTACACGAAAAATATTAACATTGTTTTTTAGGGTATATGTACAATATTAGCATATGTGTGTTTTATGAGAAGAGAATAAATGGAGGATGAGGTGAAATTCACCTCCTGATTAATTTAATCTATGATATTATTATTAATATTGCTTTTATGATTGTATCTAATATTGTCATCATCCCATGCTAGTCACAATTTAAATTTGCTATAACAAAAAAAAAACACAAAGTATGATTGTGTGAATTATTACCAACATTGATTTGTTGAAATAATGATAGTTGAAAGTATTTGATTCTAAAATAACTTGTAACAACTAAAATTCAAATTGTATATTGTCGCTACCATTTTCATAGGTACGACTGGAAATATGCAAATAAATGCAACGGAGTTGCCATCAATATTTTTTAGCGGGAAAACATAAAAAACCAATTTTTTTTAAATAAAAAGGATTTTGTCTGCTCACACCGAAAAATTAAGTTCGGGGGTCGATTACGGACGAGAAATCAAGGTTACGTAGTTCTTTCAGAAAAAATGTTGATTAATTGATATATATTTTTTATTTTTTAAAACAAATAACAAGGGCGAGTGACGCGACATGGAACGAGTCACATAGTGCATTATCTCTCCTTGATTTATTTGAAACATTCAAGGCATTTTTTTATTTATTTACAATTATTATTGTTTTTATATTAACTTTTATAAAACAAATAATAATAAATAAAAAAACAGGAAAATTAAACAAAAAAATAAATAAAAAGCAAACAGAAAAATAAAAAAAATAAAATTAACAGAAAAAATAAAAAAAAACAGAATATATAACAATAAAAAACAGAAATACAATAAATAAATAAAAAAAACAGAATATAAAAAAAGTTAAATAAATAAAAAAACGAAAATAAAAAAATAAAAAAGATGGTAAATTGATTTAGAGTTTTAGGGTAAAATTGGTTTAGGGTTAGGCTAAAATTGATTTGGGGCTTTTGGGGTTAAAAATGATTTAGGAATTTAATGTAAATTTGTTTTGGGTTAGATTAAAATTGGTTTAGGGGTTTAGTGTAAAATCAATTTGGGGTTAGGTTAAAATCATTTTGGGGTTTAGAGTTAGGGTTGTCATAGGAGGCAATCCTCCTATTACTAGAAGGGGTGGTGGTAGCAGCGCCGCCATCCAAAACGCTATCTGTGGCAGCCCTACGGTGGCCAACCACAGAGCTGCAACCGCTTGAGGAGGTGGCCCGACAGAAACAGTCGTTGCGGCGCGGCTGTGACAGCTGTAACCACCAAAAATGGTGGTTAGCCCATCCCCTCCACTACCGGACGTGGACTCTACACTCACCACCACCAACGATTCCAAAAAAAAAAACGGAAAAAGAAACAACAAAACAGCCACACACAAAATATGCAAAAGTGTAAGAAAAAAATGAAAGAAAAGATGAAGAGGAAGGAGACATTTGATGCTTTAGGATTGTTGAATCAGAATGTGATGTTCTTCCAGTGCCTCCCTTGTGTTACTAGCCTTTTGCTCATCTTCTTCTCTCTTTTTTCAAAACTAGGATTCCCTCTCTTTAGGTTTGTCTCCTCCCTTTCTTTTTTTGAAATGTGATTGTCTCCTTTAGTTTAGGTTAGTTTGTAGATTTTATAGTAAGTGAGAATTAGGATTAGGGTTAGGGTTTTAGGTAAAAGATAATGGGCCATCCTGGGCCAAGTTGCCATACCCCTAAATCCTACACCCTAAACTTCCTAATTTTATTTTTTTACTACTTCTAAAAAAAATTGCCCCGGTCAAAATTGGGTGTTTACATATATGATAATATCTCCCCTCTATATTCTCTATATAAAATTTATATAGTGAATATAGATGGGAGATATTATCGTACCGTACCAGCCGGTTCGACCGGAAAATCGGCGAACCGGACCCCTAACCGGTACGGCACGACTGTTGCATCGGACAAGCAACAAAACCAGTGGAAATCGGTTAAAACCGGCTGGTTTTGGTTAAAACCGACCACTTTATACATAATTATTTTTAAAAAAACTCATCCTAAAAGCTAAAACAGTGTAGTTTTGCAAAAAACCAAGAAGGGTTTTCTTCAACCCTTAATGCACGGCCCCCTTTGTTCTTCAACCCTTCATTCACCTCCAAACTTCAATTTAACATTCTAAACTTCCACATTCAGTCCCTTCCTTCGATTCATCTCCACAAGTTCCAGGCGTTGTAGCTTTCACGGGTTCAATTCCAGGCGTGAAATTTTTATCAGGTATTGGTTATGCACCGGTTTATGATTTATGTTTCCTTCTAGTTCTAATGGAAGACTTTCGGGTTCCATATTGTGTATGCTCTTTTAGAGGTTGGAGATGATTACAGAATGTGTGTATACTGATGATATTGTAGGGTCATTTATTTGGATGAACGTTTTTTTGCTCTTTAATTTGGTATTAGCATGTCTTCATCTTATCTTTAACTAGCAAAATATCCGTGCATTTGCACGGGTCGATATTTTATGTTGTATGATTAAGAACACATAACACACATTACATGTATTCATATAGTTATTAAAAATACACAAGTTATTTGTGCATTTGAATGATTAAAGCACACATATTACATGTGCATTCGTCATGTTACTCATACACTTTTGTAA